CGGGTAATCCTGGCGTAAACTAACATATTTCGAGTGCGCTGTTACCCCCACGGGTAATCCTGGGGGTCTCATAGGGAATGAGGGCTACGCAAACACGGGTTAGTGACTTTAAACGGAAAATCCTCGTGTGGTCACTGCGCTAGAACCCCCATTCCCTATACTACTTGGTCCACTCATCTTATTAATCGGTCATCAATAATTTGAAATATAATTCATACTAAGTGGTATGAAAAAAAACTATGTTGGGTATATCAAATCCCTACTTACATTTAACAAAGAAAGTTAATGACTTCTTGTCCGGATTACCAACCCCATTGTCAGCAATACAGGTATAGTTTCCTTTGTCATTTATTGCTACTTGTTGGAAGACAAGCGCGTTGTTTGAACTTGATACTGTACTGCTTCCATTGTAATGTTCCCCATTCTTCATCCATCTGATTTTTGGTGTGGGATTACCAGTAGCATTACACAACAAGGTGATGGTTTGGTTCTGGATGGCACTTCCACCATCACAGCCTTGACAGAAGAGTACGGTGACTGTGGGAGGGACTGTACACAATTTAAAAAGAAAAAATGATTAAACTTATCTAGTGCGATATAATATGATAATCTTATTAGCTGAAGGCAAAGTGAGTGTCGGGGAATATTTACCGAAACGCGCGTCTTCGAGCGGCGAGGTGAATATTCCTCAATAATCACTGAGCCTGAGGCGAATAATTGTTTTAGCATATACCAACTTGTGAACAGAGTAACTTATTTTTATATACAATAATTCAATAAAAACAAACAAACAGAAACTTTTAGTTTGCGTGACAAATTCACGCGAAACTTTTAGCAAGACTTTTAGCAAAACTTTTAGGCCATACTTCGTTGCCTTTTTAGTATTGATAGGAGTGGAATTTACTTTCATTTTTTCAATTTCCTCATCGGAAATTGTAGCAAAACGATTGCCGGCAGGTGCCATTTTGTTGCCGACTCAATATTCCGAGATTCAGAGGTGAATATCGTACAATATTTACCTCAATTAACCAATGAGCGCGCGCGTTCTTAGGAAGTACACAAGTTGGTATATGCTAAAATATGATAATCATAGATAAATATTCATATTAATTTTTAAGCCCTAGAATGTAAACCCATGAAATTATTGGCACATCACTAATTCCAGGTTGCTGTTGCAGGTGAATAGAGAGTATAAGCAATGTTTGAGCAGTACTTTACATTCACGTGCAATACATACAGTCTAAATTTTATCCGGAAAAAAAACTAGATTGCATATATTAAATATTAACTTACACATAATAAATAAAGTAAATGATTATCAGTCTGAATTACCTATGTCACCTTGTCACCTACCAACAACATCAGGGCCGTAACCAGAACTTTTACAGGGAGGGTGCACATTGAATAAAATTGGGTAACCAAAAGAAAGCAGAACCGAAAAATAAATAAATAAATAAAATAAATAAAAAAAGGTAACTGAAAGAAAGCAGAACCAAAAAATAACGGAGATAGATGAGCAGACCTTAACATTTTATAGGAGGGGTGCATGTGCACCCTGTGCTTCCCCCTAGTTACGGCCCTGAACATTAACCTTCTGTTACCTTTTTACTACATCCAACTATCATAAATCAAAAACCATCAACCTTCCAACATCCTACTGATAATCCTTCCGATATCCAACTGATGGCCTATGGATAGTCAGTCAGTCAGTCAGTCAGTCNGTCAGTTAGCCAGTACGTCAGTCAGCCACTCAGTCAGCCAGTTAGTCAGTCACTCAGTCACTGTCAGTCACTTAGTCAGTCAGCCAGTACGTCAGTCAGCCACTCAGTCAGCCAGTCAGTCAGTCATTCAAGCCAGTGAAACAACATTGAAGAGAGAGTCAAAGTCCACACAAACTTAGTCCAAAACTAATGCAGCTTAAAAAATAAAATCATGGTATGCCTTGCTTTTGAGTCGAAATATTTACTTACAGCCTTCACAATTCGATCTATTAAATCTACATTTATCTATCAGGTGGTTGTAGCTGAACACATTATAAGTGTAAGTATTCACTGAACGTTACAATCACCGTGACAATAGCCTGTAGCTTACAAAATAATATTAAATAATTAAGAACGCATAAAATAAAGAAATTGAATTGGTCATTAGAAAACTGCAAATAGTATCTAACTTCTAAAATATCATATAGAGATACATCATACATGTAGCTAGATTTTTGCAAACTCCATGCCCTGCACTTGACAAATTCTCACTTCACTCGAATAAAAATTTCATTGGGAGACAAGCTAGAGGGGCTGACTTTGGGCAAGTCTAGCATAAAGCATATTTCATCGCATAACAAGCATAGAAAATAAAATTCAAGATGAGACTCAGCACTCACTCAGCACACACATGTCAGCACTCACTTTTTTTTCAGTGAGAGCTAACATATTTTATTTACAATTGAATTTTATGCTAGAAATGAGTCATTTTGTACAGCTGTTTCCGAAGTTTTAAAAATCAATTGAAATCCTTTTACCAGATAGAAAAAAATAGAAAAGTCATTTATTTTATTTTCTTATTTTATTTTTATTTTTTATTTTTTGTTTTCAGATGAAGTTTTGAGACCCAACATAGCTGTCTTTATATTATTATTATTCAAATTGCATGTAACAGCCCTTGACGTATTGTATCGTGAAAATTAGTCTGCCATACCTTAAAAAGTCATGTAAACATATCATGCAAAAATCTCAACCACCTATATTTTGTTTATAACAATAAGTTT